ATATCTCAAACCATATGTAGCATTTGTCAATTTTCCAAACATAATTTGTTAACATTTATCAAGAAGAACAAAATGGCATTCTTAAATTTTGAATTATTAATGCAGTAATGCTTGTATTATTGTTTGAAATGCATTTATTTTTGTTTGATGCGTACTTGTGTCCCTCACCATACAATAAAGAGCTTGGCTATAAAGCCTGGAGTGAAAATTTGGGTATGATTACTAATTATGATAAAATGTAGTCGTTTTAGTTTATATAAACTACAAACGACTTAGATTAGATAATAATGGACTCAGGTGTGTGGCATAAAATGCAAAATGTGACACCCTCAAGTGTGGCCTAAAAATTGAATTGTGCCACATACCTGAGACTATTATAGTCTACGTATCAGGTGCATTTGTATTGTCACTTGAGAACCACTGAGACATGTGCCAGTATGATGTGCATTTTGCATTTTAGGACATGATCAAGTTCAATTATTAGTGACCACACATTAATGTCATGCCAAGATTCAAGATGTGATTTATGCAGTATTCCATTGGATCTTCATAATCTGTAAGGCTTTATTATTATTATTATTATTATTATTATTATTATTATTATTATTATTATTATTATTATTATTAAAGCTCTCACAACATCACAAATAAGAAACATACTTACTACTTTCTCATTACTATATCTACCCATTCAGTATCATAGTGTTTCTCTCGGTCATAAGGCTCATCCATATTTCAGTAGGATGTTGTTTCTAGGATGTGTCTTAGCTCACTTGTTGTTTTAACCTGATGTTGGCAATATCATAAATAAATTTAGACAAATTGAAAAATGATCACATCTTCAACTTACATTGGCAAATCACATCAATGACTCAACAAAGGTTTCGTCAACCTTTGGTAACCTTCTGACTTCACAGTGTACACAGGCAAACTCAATAAGTCAGTCATGCATGATGGACTGACTTATTGAGAGAACTGACTTATTGAGAGATTTTAAATATTAAAACTGAGAAAAGGGCTTGGGAAGTTTTGGCCTTCTTAGGCCAAAATTGAATCATTGAGAGACTGACTTATCGAGTTTGCCTGTGTATTTCTTTCCATTCTGTAACTGTAAATAGTACCTCTATCTCCTGATCATCCAAATCAACAATCCATGAATGGAGGAGTGATTCAGATGATAATTTATTGCAATGCTCAAAGATAGCATCCTCAGCACACGTTCCAGTTGATAGAATCCACTTTTGAGTCTTTTTTATTTTTGTGTAGGACTCATCAAAATACTTGAGCTGTGATAATGTCAGCAATGGTGGAGGATTCTGATCCTCATCATTACTTGTAATATGAATAGAAGTGAAGTTATGAATCTAAGAAAAAAAATTATTATATGATACCTTGCCACATAATCTGAATCTTCTTCCTCAGGTATAGGTATGTAATCTGCATTATCATTCTCCTCAGATGTAGGGGAGCCATGTGCTTCATCGACCTAAAAAGAATATCACTAATTAGTCTTTAATTGCTATGAATGTCAGAACGTCGTGATAACTGAATAATTCGCTTCAATATGAAACTGTACCTTGTCTTTCTTGTCATCCGCTTCGTTGGCAATGCTTCGTTCACTGCTTAATTTTCGCCGTTTCTTGGTTGAGTTGTCTGTTTTTTGCGAAAATAGATTGGACAGTTTTGTTTCGGAGGAACTTTTAAAGAACTTGTCGATCCGTCGCTTTCATCATGATCATCCTGACATTGAAATACAAAAATTAGTTCTTTTTGTTCTAATATTCTAGAAAAGATGCAAGTATATACGTTTTCTTAAAACCACCAATAAAAATTTACCTTGGGTTTGTTTTGTTCGAAGATAAATTTTGATACTCTTTCATTTGCCTTTTCACAATTATCGTAACTATTACAAACAATCTCTCCATTAAACTGTACTGACGTTTGAAGAGTGTGAAGACCTTCTTTGTCTGTCACTAACTTCGTTTCAATCTATGATTTTTTAGAAACATTAATAAATATAATAAAATGAGATGCACACAAACTCTACCCACTTTCATACAATCAAGAATAATCTCTCTCCAATACAAGCAGTTACTCTCAGAATTAACCTCGAAATTAAGCAATAATGGCAACGTTAGAAATCAAACATCATTGGAAAAAGATAAACATATCAACCATAAATATAAGAAGACTTGCAACCAATGACGACTAGGTAGTCACCTAATGCTCCTAAATCAGGTAGTCACCTGTTTGGAGTGTCACCATTGGTCACTCACTCATGATAATGATAACTAGGTAGTCACCTGTTTGGAGTGTTATCATTACCCCTCAAAAAAAAAAAAAAAAAAACACTGGAAAAATATACCTTTGTTTTCAGATCAATCTTCTCGATTCGTTCTTGGACTGCCCATATAAACCTCGTCCACGTTCCATCAAGAGCATGCCAGTCGTCATGGAATGGAGGGGCTTTAAGAATTTTATCATGGTAAAGCAACAGAAACTGGGAAAGGGACCACTCTTCCGGTTTGTGACTATCTAAGTATTCAAGAAGCTCTGCAAGTCAAAGTAGAAGAAATATAAAATTAATAAACGCAGGATTAAATTGTCATTTACACGTTCAAAAAATATTGCCTTCATTTCCTTGATAATAATTATTGACTTGTGACATGATATACTGTGTGAGGGCGGGTTGTAATAGTTTAAATATCATCAATTGATCACGTTCATTGCTCACGTGAACTTGTATGACATTGAGTGTTTGTTTATGTAACCGCACGCGAAAACGGTGACGAGAACGTTCTCGGCAGAATCGTAAGACTATTACTATCCCATCTTACTCATATTACAATATTACGTAGGGGGTTTGTTCCCTGATATCTTTGATAAATGAGTGATGGTAAGCCAATATGCATGATATAATTTGGTGCAATTTATGATATTCTAGTCTATTGATCTACAAAAGGAAGTGAACTTTCAAGCCCAAGCTCAAACGGTGACGTATTCCTCAATAATTTCCGCGATTATTAATGCACAAGCTGCGTCGCCAGTTACACACAAGCGACAAAGATTTGACCTATCCCGTTTATTTACTTTATTATGATAAATCGAAAACCAATCATGGAATACACATCGCGTGCAAACTGCTAAAAATTTACGGGCTATCAGGGTTTCTAATACACGAAATTTTCAAAGCGTCTACTCACTCCTGTCCCGAATTAGAAGGGGTAGGATACGTATATTTGGGAAAATATTTACTTTGAGAAAGAGGATATGTAACGGGAGATGTCGTTGTTGCGCTTTTTATAATGTGTCGTGTAAACTTGTATATTTTATTAAATTATTAGTAGAACGTAGTAATAGTAACTATATTTGGGGAAATATTTACTTCTGTGCGATTCGACGTACAATAAAGCATTACTATGATGGTTGGTTATTGTGTGAATAGATCGTGCTCAGGATGTCTTTAGAAAAATTTTCAAATACCAAATGTTTTTACCTCAAGATAAATCATGTTCATGTGTTGTATGTCCGTTTGGAATAGTAAAGACAGCCAGGTAACAACATTATAAAATTATTTATTGCCATTACGATACCAACCCTACTTGCGTATAAACAACTGAGTTAGTTATAAATATATGCTATTTTAACGTTTGTAAGTTTTACCATAAGGAATAAATAATCTATATAAGCACAAGTAACTTGTGATATTACCACTTGTATTACGTCTCGTCTTTATATTATATCGTTCGTATACACTTGAATCTCACTTTATGATACAATAAATAGTATTACACATAACAAATTACTGCACTGTCGATTATGACAGTTTGGTTACCGTCATATGTAATCATGTCACAATGTAAACTCTGTCAAATCCCCAAACCCGCATTTACATACGTAAAACATTGAAAGTTCAGAA